ACAAAAGAAGTATTTTCTAAACAAACAGAAAGGGAAAGAAGCTGAGGTCAGACAGGTCCTGGTAGTTTTGTGGAACTAGAAGAGGGATGTAGAGAGACATCATGTGAATTGAAACAAGAAGTAAAAGTAAAAAGACAGGAAGAAAAAATTAAAAAGGAGAGAGGGAGAAATGACAAAGCTGATAAATGGGAAGAGTGAAAAGGATGTGACTAATGATATGAGAAGAGTTGTTTCTGGAAAAACTGACTCATTAAACAATGATTCGCACAATAAACACCTGGAGGTTTGCCTTCTTTTCATCAGATTTACTGAGAGAAACAGCTGGCTCAAGGCACCAGTCTCACTGCTGAGTTTCTTGTTGTGATTTCATCTGTGGCACGATGTTATGACTGTTGTAAAGCCTTAAGTGCTTCTGGACTTTGTAATGTGTTTGACATGGGAGATATTTTCTTTCCCTGTGTGGTTACAACCTGTAAGCCGTTGCTGTGGCTGGGAAATTGTTTCAGCCGGAGAAAGATACTGGGGGTGAGCAGGCTCACCTCTTCCCATGACTTAAAAGAAAATACAGGCATTCAATTAAATGTATTATGTACCTTGAATTTATATTTCAACTGCCCCACTGCACTTCCTAATAACTGAACTTCCAAGCAGAGACACTACCATTTGAAAGGCAAGTGCCTAACTTGTTTTTGTGGCTCTGACTTCTGACATCACAACTTGAGTTACTCTGCACTTGTCATGTAATGAAGGGCTACAAAAACGACATTAGGACTTTGTTTATGTGAGTTTGTAATTACAGCATGGATTCTTGCTGGTTTGAATTTTATACTTCATGCTGAAAGTACCCCTCATTCGTATCCAACTAGTACACGATTGATTTGCATGTAAGTCATTTAAAGTCAACATATTTCCAAGAAAGTTCAATTACTTCCCTCTTATTATATTTACTTTGAAATCATTAACAATGAGCTCTAATGCTTTTATGGAAACTGTTGGTTTTGAGCTGTGTTCTAAAGATAACTCACTGCTAGCAGACAGCTTTGAGAAAGTCTGAATCATTCTGAGTGCATAAGCAAATGGAGAACAGTTGTGTTTGAAAGCATGCTGAGAGCACAGGGTTTTTCCTGGAGAAAGGAAAACTGAAAAGTGTGATCTGAAGCACAAACAGAAAGCTCACTTTTCCAAGAACTGTACACCTTCCAGCTGTAATAGATTCTAAACACTTTATTTGGATACATAATTCAGAAATCGATGTGCAGCACAAATAATTTCACAAGCTTCAAGAGCAATCTAACACGCTGGGGAAATTGAGAGCAGAAGTTAGAACCTGGATGAAAAGTGACATTTCATGAGAGAATAAAATAAGCCTGTTCAAAACTTCTGAATAGCATGATATTAAAAAGTGAGTTGGCAGAAAGTGTAACATTTGAAGGATGACGATTTTTTTTTTTCCCAATATATTCCATTTATTACATGTTTTACCATAGTCCTTTACAGTCCAGTTGATTTCAGTTTTACTTACTACAAGTGCTATAACGCAGACACTAGCAGGGCTGGTTCCCTTGAAGAGCTGAAAACCTTAAACAGTAATGAAAGATGACACACGGGGGAAAGGAATGATTACATCCATTATGCAATGAGCATCTGGAAAAAGGTAAATAAAGTGATTTGCCCAAAATTACCTGAAGTAAATTTCTTGCAGAGCTCAGGCAGAATTGGAACTTTCTGAGTCGATGACTGATGAATTTTTCTCATAACTAGGCTTGGTCCTCCCCATGCACAGATCTGCTGTGAAAATAAGCCACCTTTATGTCCAAATTCTTGTCTTCTCAACATGAATTATCCCTGTGACTAGGCAAGTAGCAAATATGATCTCCACCCGAGGCCCACACCATCTCCTTTCCACCTCCTCTCCTACAGAAAGGGTAATTTTCCCTGTGTGGCTCCAACCCATTCCCCGCATGTTCATTTCTCACAGCGCAACTGAAAAAAAAAAAAAGAATTAAAAAGGAAAATACCAAAGGACATAAAAATATTGAAGGCTATAAACTACCTCAGAGATACATTGCTTCCTTACACGGCTGCCGTTTCATACCACACCTAGTCATTAAGAATCAATAATTCTCCATGCTGTTAATGTTTGAGCTGCTGAACATGAGGAACTATAAACCGTGTGGAGAAGCACGGACAGACACCACCAACCTGCACAAAGGTGATTCCCACAGCTGAAAGAAAGAAGCATTTTTAGAGCAAAATAAGCTTTTCGTGTTACAGGTAAGGGATGATCTAACTCATTTCACAGGAAGATTTTAAAACCTGAAGCAAATGTTTTGCTGAAGGCTTTTCAGGCAGCTTTGGGAACTCAGCTGTCCTTGTAAAATGGATGACTGATGTGCTAAGGCTGAGTCTGGTTTGTATTTGATTTGGATCAATTTCCTCTGTGTTCTCTTTACTGAATTTGAACATCTGAAATAAATCATTTAAAGAAAATAACCTTTTTTTATTTATTTATTTTTCATGGAACCAGATGCTTGTGATTGTTACTGATTTTTAACCTTCAGGAATATTCTTTGTTCTTTGTGTGTTTATTGTTGAAAGTCACTAGAATATTTATATGATGGTTATCCTAGAGATTTCTGTTCAGGCAGGGGAACCGTAAGGGATTATTAGGGATATAGCACTGAGCTGACATTAAGAAATGAAGGAGAAAATATGGCTCCGATGCTCAGTCAGATCTCAGGCTGCTTTCAGTTAAGCTGGTCCTATTCTAATCCTGAAACTGCCTATTACTGAAAACTTTTGTGTGAATTTATATACACCGAAACTCTATTCCGAGTGACAGAATAGTATGTATTTTGATGATTTGGTCCTTGGCAATGCAATGCTTCGTGAGACCTGGTAACAGCTTCCAGCCAAAAATTAACGTTCAAGGGCTGGTCAAGCCACTCGTTGCAGCCTGGCAACAGCCACCACAATGCACAACATTAGGGAATAATGTTTATACTGAAAGAGAAGGGAACAGTGAAGGCACTTACCATGCAAACCCATAACCTACAAAATGGCTGTATTTCCACTTTTGCGTTTTGTAGTCAGATTTGGATAGCGAAACCTGGTGGAGATATGGCGCAGTTGGGCAGCACATGAAGGAGTGCATTTTCCAGCATTTTCTGTCCTCTCCGCTAAGGCCGGACGTGTCCCTTCCTTAAATTTTCTCCTCTCCATAGTAAGTCTTGCTCCTTCTTCTTTTTCCTGAATTCAGACCATGGTATCCCCAGATGGGGCCTTTTTCCTCACTTCTTGCCAGGCTCCCTCAGTACTTTTATCTCCCCAATGTCCCACCACCACCAGCTGTCTGAGAGGCACGTACAGCTGTGCCTCCCTAAGAGAAGCAGATGAAACTCTGCAGGCAGCTATTGGGCACACACTGCAGCCTTACCCTCAGGAAGGACATGTCTTGGGTCCTCTGTCTAATGAGAAGTTATATTTTTAAAGCTCCCACCCTGCTATTAATTGCAGCTGAAACTGGCCAATGTATCCAGAAAAGACCAGGAGCAGGAGAGCAGAGAAATAGGGGAGGAAATGAATGGATTTCTGCCAAGTCTCTAGCTGAAATATCAGCAATAGTCTTGGTTCAAAGTGCCTTCCCAGGATGTTCAAAGTGTCTCCTCAACCTCTGTACTGCCTGTGCCAGGCTCCAGCTCCAATGGCTGCAGGCGGGGCAGTGAGGGAACCGCTCAGCAGGCATCACTGCCAGGCAGCCGCTGCAGGTTCACCTTCAGCCCTAGTTTCCTGACACGTTTATTGATTTTCTTAATCAATTCTGGTTTCAAATGAGCATCATTTTATCTTCTTCCCATGTTCACGCAGCTAGCTCCAGCCCAAGGAAACGGCCCAGTAATTTCAAAGGATGTAATAGCACACACTGTAAGACCCCACTCAGAATAGGATTTGCACAGTAAAATCCTGTGTCACATCCTATATGAATGCTGGAGAAAACAACAGTATGGGCAGCAGTTTCTACACTTATGGGTCCCCTTTTGGGTCAGCTGTTGATTTCATCAACAAGGAGGAAAAGGAGGGAGAGGGGGGAAAGGTATGATGGGAATCCCAAGCTGGAAGGTATCTGGAGGGAGCTGTACCTCTACACTGCCTCCACAGTGCCATCCTCTCCTTGGGATCCTCCATGGGACGGAGCTGTGATAGCTGAAGGATAACTGCAGGCGTGAGTCACATAACATGGAGCACCACTGACGATGGCAGCGCTGTACACCAGCTTTACCTCTTTCCAGAACTGGCTTCGTCTTTTTTGTTAAAATCTAGAAGTAGTGGGAAAGCAGGATTTCAGTTTTGAAGAACCCGTCTAGTTTCCAGGAGGATGTAACACAAGTCATGGCAGTGTGTGCTCAGCATTTTTTTGACATTTGAGGCAGGCAGTGCTCCTTGGACTTGGAAGTTTCATTTCCAGTAACCATGTTTTATAAGGGTGCTGACACCTCCAGCTTCCTCTGCCTCTGCAAGGCTACACTGAACAGTTGCTTTCTGTAACCAGAAGATAGAGGCTTCAGGATTGTCCTTGCAAGACCTTCATCTTTTTGTGGTTATCGTCCTTTGTGAGAACGTGTTGTTGCCTTCAATAAAGCAGAAATGAAAATGGGGCTTGCGTGACATAACCTCATTGCAGCAGGGAGGTTGCGTAGCCTGAAGTTTTGTGCCTCTTTCTACTGTTGTTTGAGGCTCTCAGCATGTGGCACCACCTACACAACTGGGGACACACCTGATGGGAATGACCTTCCCAACCAGCCCAGGGACACCAGCAGTCTCACCTCCTATGGGTAGAGCTGTGCCTGGTCCTTCAGAGCAAATGCCTCCCCTGCTCCCTCTCTACAGCTCTGGGAAGCCTTAGCTGTAGCCTTTATTCACAAATAGATTTGACCAGCTCTTTGGGGTTAAAGTGACTATCACCTCTTCTTTGCAGGACCTGAATCAAAGCCTATTCCAGTATGTTTAAGCTGTGTGGACTTCAATTTCTGCTTGTCATTCACTTGGTGAGTTACAGCTTTTCCTCTTTTTATCTGTGAGTAAATGGCAAAGGTTACCTGTGAGCCTCTGAGCTCCAAAACATGGGGGGTCATAGCCTGCAGGTCAGGCTGGCATCGTGCTCCACCAGAGCATCCGTAACTATGGGAGTACAGCCCTGGCACATGTGTGACCCGTGGCCAAAAGTCATGAAGAAATGTTAGTCACTAGATAAAAACCTTTAGAAAGCCTAAAAGACACATATTTACCCATTTCACCTCTTGTACTTCCTCCTTAGATATTTTTTTTCCAGTAAGTGGTTTTTATGGTAGAAAAGAATTAACAATAATGCAACAAATCACCAAACAGTGAAGACATCTGTGTCGTGTTCTGTATTATAGTGCATACATGTGCTGACATACTAACTGTATCCTAAGACATATAATGGCACATAGTTTAAACCATCCATACTAATTATATATCCTCATTATGCCATCTATATAAATCCTTTTTCAGAAGATTTTCTGGTACTGAAATGTATTAATTGTGCTATTTATGGTTGTCATCTATTAAATTAAATAGATTGATGTTTGTGAAGGCTACAGTGGTGGCTTATACTTTACAATTGAAATTAACAGAAAAGGTTAAAAAAGGAGTCAAATTCAAGTCTATTAAAAAATGCCTCAGAATACAGAGACCCTGAGGAGTGGGATTGTTGTGCAGTAGTGAACACCCCTTTCTTCCTTCCCAAAAGCTGCTGCCCATATTAGTGCTGACCCCCAACAAAGCCACTCCACAGGCATTGCAGCCATGTTCAAAAGGGATGCCAGCCAGATACAGGCCAAGGAGAAACGTCTATTTCCCCTTCAGTCTCCTGAGTATTGATTCATGCTGTAGACATACGTTTGGAAATATTTATGGTCCGCATAAAGTAATTTTAATCCACAGGAAGAGATATCTCTTATTTGCTTCACAGCCTGCACTTTGAACCCTTTGGGTTTTATAGTGTCAGCCTTTGTTCCTCCATGGCGGGGAACATGACCAAGCAAAAGCCCTGCACAAAGTGGCTCTGGGAAAAACCTTCAGGAGCCAGGTTGCACCCACCAGTGCAGCACAGGAATGGCCACAGCAGGTCAGATCTAGGGTCCTACTGTCTTGTCCCAGGCGGAGGCCAGGAGTCAGCATTTAACAAAAATAGTAGAAGGTAACTATAAAGTACTCTTTCCTGGTATGTGAACATATTACATGTCTTTTTTCGACATTTTTCTGCTGCTGTTCACTTGCATCTCTCTCCCTCCTTCCCCAGCTCTCGCAATATTCTAGTTTTCCTGTTTGCAAGAAGAGGCATTAACCCTTGTAGGCGAGGAGGGCAGCATCTTTGGCTATTATTAAGCAGAATCTGGTGTTATTCAAACATACACACAGAGAGCAGTACTTTAGGGTAAATCATGCTGAACTCAGCTATGTTTCTGTCATAGACAGAATTAAGTTTTCCCTTGGTAATACATAGACTGTGCTTTTCTGTTAGAGGCTGAGTAGGTGTCCCAGCAGCAATAGGACCAAATCCAGGGGACTAGTCATGCAGCAGAGAACATGCACTCCCAGAGCACAGATCCATGGGGGGATGGACAGGGTGGCAATGACACTCCAAATCCGTACAGCAAAATAAATTAATTTTTACTCCAGAAGAAAGGGAGTTTTACCTGTGCAGCCAAATGATGGAGCCCTAATTTTGACAGGCAGCTCCTTAGTGTTAGCAAGACCCTGGTGACAGGGGGTGAAGGGTAGACATTCAGGGGAATTTAGTCTTGCATTTGGAGAAACATGTAGTTTATCTGAACCACAGGATGAATTATCTTGTGCACAAGGGCTGCCCTGGGAGGCTGATTTTTGCTTTGCTTTTTTTGTTTGAAAATAAGAACAGCACTGAAATGTTAGGGCAGGACTGTGTGAGGAGGTCTTTAGGCACTAGGGAGAGGGTGGTTGTAAAACTCATGTAAAACTCATAAAAAATTTGCCAGAATAAACACCATGTGAAGGCATTGCCAGCCATTAGGAAGAAAACAGGGGCCAAGGAGACTTGCAAGGCATTTTTGCCACAAGGTAGAAGCCAAAGATCAGCAGGACATGTTTGCTCTGGCTGTGGTTTGCACTCACATACATCTGATGTGAAGGCACAGGTCTCAAGAAGTTTTCCCCAATGGCATGGCCCCAGGGGTGCTGGGGTTGTAGAGGACTCTGTGAGGTTCACCTTTTTCCTTTACAAAAAAGGTCTGGATTTACTTAGGAAATTTCAAGTGGTGCAGCCCCACTTCTTACCCATCCCCAGATGTGGCCTTGGGTCTCCCAACACACTTGTGGCCATGGGGCTGTGTGACTCCTGAATGGGATGTGACTGGTCCTGCTGGGGACTCAGAGGTGGTCCAGATATGCTTTTATAAATTTCCTCTTGCTCTCAGTCTACATTCAGCTCTTCAGTGCTTCTGTTTGCTCTTGAAGGTAGATCAAATCTCATTCAATTATGTAGTGGTCAGAAAAGGGCAGGGCCCAAATGTTTGTTTCCAAATTGATTAATAAATAACACTGCTTTTAAAAATGGGTATACACTGCAGAACCCAGAGATGTTCAGTGCGAACCAGTAAGTCTCCTCCATTGCACTACAGCAAAATAACTTGCAAGAGGTTCAGCTGATGGAGGCCTGATGTTTGTACGTAGTGACAGCAAACATCCCTCAGCTGCTTTCCTCCATCTCTTTCTCTCTCTCTCACAGGCAATGTGCCAGAATTTGAGGGACCTGCATGTAACTGGGCCTCTGCAGGACATGAATTTCTCTATTCCAGAAGCGGGAGGAGTGCGCTTCATTTACCAGGTAATCCAGTGTCTCTTGGTAGCCAATCCGGTGAAAACCCCCATAGTTTGCATACACTGACCTTATGGGCAGCATTGTCATCTGTGCTGGTGGGAAGAACAGTCCCCCGAGAGGATCTGAAATTAACTTCGACTTCCTCTATCTGGGAATTCAAGAGTCTGTGTGCAAAAAACATCAGACAATCCCTTCTCTCAAGCACATTTTGAGGCGATATCCTAAAACAGGGATTAACAAAACCAGCATTCCTAGAGAATGGGTTTCCATGTAACTTGTGTCATCATTTTCCTTCAGCTCTGAGGTTTTCTTCCCAAAGCCATACCCACAGAAGGACAGATCCACCTCCAAGGCAAATGGAGGATGTGTGTCATTTTTTTCCATTCCCGTGCTCAGACAAAGCCTTGTCCTAAGCAGACGTTTGCTTTGGAAAGAAACCACAGTTGGGATTTCCTGAATGTGAAAACTTCTCTGCTGAGGATCAGAGAAGAGCAGATTTGTTTGAGCAGACTCTTGGAATATCATTCCCTCAGCCAACCACACTGTTGGCAATAGATTTTAAAAGACACAAAAGCATGAAATTATTTTGATTATGGTGAAAATACTGAAAAAAAAGGATGATTTTTCCCTGTTTTTTCCTCATTCTAGTTCACATCTGAGCCACCTGCTGTGAGTTTCAGAGCAACTGGTGAAAAAGATGGAATAATTGACATTGTGCCAAAGACAGGCATCCTGTATCTCAATGGGTCTCTGGACTGGGAAACCAAAGCAGTGCACAGGCTGCAGGTAAAAACTCATTGAAAAATAGGAAGGCAGGGTTATTCATATTCACCCTTTTTTGGTAAACCTGAAATTAATGGAAAACTGTTGAAATTACAAATTTTTTCCTATGTTTACAGGCACCTTTTTCATTTTTAATATTGAGCTTTGCTGAATGACACATGGTTTTATAGTTCTGAAACTATTGCAGGAAAATGCTCCTCAGCACAGGAAGGTTATCTTGAGAAAACAGAAATTACCATGATGCCAACACAATACTTTAGTTCTCCTAATATGAGGAGGACACTTGACTGGAAGTGAAATCTGGACCCATCAATGAGATTCGCTTGTTAACCTTGAAGACTGATTGGGTGAATTCCATGGCTGGAATGGGAAAATTAACTACTGTAATCTATTTAGGAAGATTATAATATATTTAGTGACAAATAGTGTGAGTAAAAGACACAGAGGCACAGATCTAACCTTTGTTAGATAGCAGCAGGAAGCTTGTTTGGCATATGTCAGAGGCTATTAGATTAAAAAGCATTCTGTGCTCATCCTGCTGTTATGCTCTTTTCATAAGGGTCTCATTGTAAACACAGTTGGGAGTGGGACAGTGGGGAGGTGATCTTTTGGTCTCAGTGTACTGTTGTGCTCTTATTCTGTATGTAATACCAAAAATGGTATTGTCTTATTCTGAGGCACAAGCAACTGAAAACGAATGATTGTGAGAGGATCAGTATCTGAACAAATGCTGAGACTGGAAGTGGGAAAAGTGTCATCAGAAGCAGGAGTAGGTTATTTTGTTCCGTTAGCATTATATACTCTGGCAAACCATTATCAGTGAGCTATACCATGGTATATACCTTGTAAATGGAGCCACCCAGTGATGACTCTCACCAGATTTGCATCAAATTAAGAATGACTTAGCATTTGACATCCTGATGTTCATTTATGTCATTTAATTTATCTGCATGAAAATATTTTTTTGCTGTTCCTTTTTGTTTTTTTTCCAATCAAGGTGGAAAGTCTGGATGAAATGGGAAACACAGTGAAAGGTCCATATGCTGTTACAATATACGTGGAGGATATCAATGACAACCCACCAGAATTTGACCAGATGAAGTATACTGGAGTAGTGAGGCAGAACTCCCGTCCAGGTAATTGTCATAATAATTAAATATTATAGTTAATGGGAAGCTAGGTAGATTAGTTTAAGTTTAACTAGATTTCCTGACACCTTCTTCATCAACTGTTCTTCACAACTATTGGGAAAATACTAAGCAGAGCTGGTGAAGGGGCTACCTGTAGGATGGTACACAGGCAATGTAACCTCTATACACAACCATTGCTTACCACAAGAGATGCATTATGAAACAACAGCATCTCTCCATAAGCTGCCTTCCTAGCTTGAGAGCTCTGCTTGGATGGGCTACATGTTGAGGTTTCAGTCTCCTCTTACCACTGTTTTCTCCCTAATCCAAACAGGCAAGCCCTTCATGTACGTCCATGCCACTGACCGTGATGATCCTACCACTCTCCATGCACAGCTGGTGTACAGCATTCTTCATCATTTTCCCAATCCTTACTCAGAAATGCTTTTCCAGATCGATAATGTAACTGGAGCAATCTCACCAAGTAGAATGGGTATGTTAAAAGATTCTTGTTTGCCAAAAAAGCAAGCATGAGTTCCTGGCTGTACATAATAGCAAAACAACAGCACAGATCTCATGTTAAATTCTGAATAAATGTAGTCAGTGGGACATACTCCACTGAGGCCCTGGTTTTGGAGGAACTTTGCATCCCACCAAATCCAGGGAAGTCAGCAGAAATGGAGATTGGGATGTAAAAGAACACTGAGAAGAGAAATAAATCCTCTGGCCCTAAGGACTACACAGCCATGTCTTGGGATTAATTCTCTTCCTTGAAATATAGAAACCTAAAAGCAGTAACATGAAAAATGCAGAGAAAAGTCAGCTGGCCTCATGATCCCAACTGAACTGCAATGATTTAAAAGCCCCTGTGTCTTCTGCTGGGCTGAACAGGAGTGCCTAACTGGAATGAGGGATGTTCAGTGATGCATCTGCACAATATGAGACCACAGCACAGACCCTCATACAATTATGTCCACACGATGCTGTGCTGCATTGTGCAGAAAAGCCAGAGGAAATGGCTTGCTAAGATTTGGCACAGAGGCCCATCTAAGGAGTGAGTCTGGAGCAGACAAAGCAGCATAATGCGTGTAGAAACACAGTGTTTATAGCGCAATGGACAGATGAAACATCTCCACAGCCCGTGCTTCATTTCACTTGGCTGTTTGCTCTGTCTCTAGGCTCTTATTACTTAGATCCTCAAAAGCAGGACACCTTCACGCTCGTCGTCACTGTGAAGGACATGGCAGGGATGACAACAAATGCTTTCACCAGCAGCACTGATGTAATCATCACTGTGAAGGAGAGCTTGTGGAACGCTCCCTCCACCATTCACATCCAAGAAAACTCAACCCAGGCTCACCCAGTCAACATCAGCCAGGTAGGGCCCTTGACCATGATCCCTGTGCCTTTCCTCGGTGCCATGGAGTTGTTTTTTCACAGTTGACTGTGAAGGTGTCCCCACCAGGCTCTTCAGAAACACTTTGGTACCTCCCTGTTATTTTTTTATATGGTATCCTTTGGGAATGGTCTTTAGTTAGTCTCATTAAATTATTGCTACTGTGAAAGTTAATAGTTTGAATACAGTCAATATAAACATTAGAGTGACTGGGCTTTGCCCCTCAGCTTGGAGAGGCTGTTAGCACTGCCTGTGTGTGAAAATATCCCATAGATAGAGGAAACATTTGGAGAATTTTGTTACAGTGTAATGACTGGAAGAAAACGGGTGCTTTACAAGGCTATCTGGCACAATATGAAAGATAAAGCTCTTGAGACGCCCCAAGGGAGCTTCCAGACAGTTGGGACCCTCTGTGGGGATGCCACTCTTCTCTTCCAATGGGATTCTTTGAGCACTTCCAGCCTCACTCTAACACCATGGGCCCTCCAGGCTTTAAGAAACCAAGAGCTAACCTGTTGAAGGTTATTTAGAGGTTAGCTTCTTCCATCCATAGAAGAGTCTGGCTGGGGCCCATCTCCACTGCAAGCCTGGAACAAGGAAGTTCTGCGGTGACCAGTTTGGTGTGACACAGCACACCTGCTATATCAAAAGTACCGGGGCAGGACTGATGCTGTCCTCCAGCATCCTGCATTCCCACAGTATTCCTCTTTTCACGGTGCAAATGTAAAACACTTTGCTGATAACTGCAGACCAATAGCAATGTACCTACCTTGGCAATTATCAACTAATGGGCCAGTAGCCTTTCAGAAATGTCTGACTTTGAAAAATGCCTTGGCACTGACACCCAAATGCTGCCATCCCTTGGACATGGCAGGATTCGTCAGATCCCGTTTGCAAAAATAATTGACTCAATGCTATTCCCTTTGGCCTCAGTGACAGTCTGAGGAAGTCCAGAGGGAAAACAGGTGAAAGAAAAACTAATATGCAATAGTGCTCCTATTCTGAGCTCATTTGTGTATAAATTTCCAGTGGCAGCCAATGACATGTGGATTCTGCATAGGGGAAAATGAAATGCAGTTCCTGATATATAGTGTATATATAAAACCCCCAGTACTACTGACTCCTTCATTCATTTAGAAGTCTGTTTACTGCATTTCGTTTTAAATCTGAAACACCCCACTAAAGATAATTCATCACAGACTTTGATCCATATAAAGAGCATGCAGACACATTTGTGCAAATAGGTACCGGGTATTAGTTTTGTTGCTCCACATCTCTGAATTAGGTAAACCAAAACAACAGGCAGGAATAGACAGTGTAAGGTGATGGAATAAATTAGTTTCAAGACATTCAAATATATATAATGCTTTTTTTCTCGTATATCACCATTTAGCTCCACATCCCAAAGCCCTTCCATAAAAAGACAGGTGTGGTAACCCATCTGGACAGCTGGAGGAAGTGAAGTAAAATGGATTCAGTACAACGATTCAGAGAACAGAGGTGGATTATCAGTCTGGTTTTCTGCAGCTGATTTCAAGACACTGACAAACTGTGAATTTTCTGGTTTACGAATCTAATAGGAATGCAATCTTTTCCGTCTGTGGTCCAGAAATGATCTTTGTTAAATCTCAGTCTACACTTCTGACTTCCTATGCTGGCTTATTTTTGTGGTTTTAGGTGCACTCAAATGAGCAAGATGTAATTTATGACATTTTTGAAAAAGAAAAGCTGCCCAGGCTCCCATTTTCTATCGACCAGAGTGGGGTTATTTATGTGACTGAACCATTGGACAGGGAAGAAAAGGATACTGTAAGTAAACACAAAACCTCACCAATGGGAGAGACCACAGCAGGAAGCTGTTTATCGGTGTGGGAGTAAATACAAGAAAGGTCACTAGAAAAGGGGGGTGCGGGGAGAGGGGGAGTGTTAGAGTGGGGAAGAAATAAAATCTTTGTTTCCTGTCATTTCTCTTTGGGAATGACTTGATAGATATGAGAGAACGTTCATCTACTACGCTGTAAACAGCCTTCAGTTTGGTACCCTACAACATTTCTCCATGCATCTGGCAGTAGCAATCACTGCCCAGAGTGTATGTATAATATATAATACAGACCAACCATGGCAGGGTTGTAGATGCATGAGCAAGAGGTAGGCAATGGCATTTGTGAAGGCCAGGAGATTTAGTTGTTTAATATCTATTCCATATCCCAGGGGCCTCCAGGATCTTTCCACGGCAGAAGCAGAGTTTAGCTTTCAGTTGCAACTGTGAAGTAAACCCATCTGGCTCCCTTTTAGACAGAAACCCCTCTGTCACCTTTTGTTACTTGAGGCACAGAATAGGCCCAGATATAAGATCAGATATGCTGGAGGAACCTTATCTCTGTATGTGACAGATGAGTTTGCAAAGTGACAAAAATGACATATTCCTGCTTTTCTTGTATTTTTGTGAGAGCCAGTTCAAAGTGCAGTGAAGTATTCAGGACTTTAAAATTATTTTGAGAACTCAGACCTCAGGCACTGAGGGGTAGTGGAAGAGTTCTGAATTAAACAGAGTGAAAATACTGAACAAACATATGAGAAAATACTTCATTTGCATGGACCACTCCATAGTTACACATTTAAATGCAAAATATTGTCACACTGGACATTCAAAGCATCTAATCTCAATATTCTTATTGCAGTATAATTTCTTTGTGGTCACAAAAGATAACAAGGGAGAACTGGTGGACAAGCCTCTGCGAATTCATGTTGTGGTGGAAGACATTAATGACAATCCCCCTGTGTGCCAGCAGGCCCTCACTGTGATGGAAGTTCAAGAAAATGAAGGTGGAGGTAAGAAAACAGCTTCTACTCATTTATGTATCCTTCTAGTCCTATTATTTTTTCCAGCTGGGTGCATATAAAGCTAGAAATTTGATCCCAAAGAGTAAAATGTAGCTCTCCTAGGTGAATGTTTTCCTGTGCAAATAGCCTTCTTGTTTTCACTTCAAGAATTCGTGTGGAAAGGGTTTCAATAACCTGAGAAAGGCAGACCCAAAGCCGCTACTTAAAAAGTGCTGTTCCATTTAAAACATAAAATTACATTTTCCCACATTTTGGACAACTGCATAGAAAGTAAAAAGAAAAACACCCCTTTTATTGCTAATATAATATAATCTGTCCCAAAGCCTTCACATCAGTTTTCTGGTTTCAAGGCTGAAGTATCTGTTGTTAGAATCACATCTTCTGATCAAGACACCTGGCCCAGTCCTTTTGGACTGCCCCAAGCCCAAAACAGCTGGTTGGGATGCTAAAGAAAAATCTCCCAGAAGTCAAACCATTTTGTCCTTTGCAGTGTTTTCCGTGCAGTTGTGTTTTTATTGCCCCTCTACTCTTTGCATTGATATCACTGTTGTCAGTGTGTACACCTGTGGAGGAATAGGACCACCGCATTATCTGACTGACTCTGGTCTCTGCCACAGGAAGTAATATTGGCACCCTCTTAGCTACGGACAGGGATGAGGAGGATACCCTTAATTCTCGCCTGCAGTTCAAAATTCAAAGTCAGGTTCCTGATGTGCCTGCAAGTAATCTGTTCTTTATTCAGCAAGACACTGGGATTTTGCAGTTAACTGGCCGTTCATTAAACAAGCGCACTGCATCCAACTATTCCTTGAAGGTGCTGGTGACAGATGCAGGTACGTAATGCCTTGTGTTATACATTGGAATAATTGTGTTCAGTATCAGGGGATGAGAGGAGACCTGGAGGATTCACTGGACAGACAGCATCACTGAATACTGGCTTGTTCTGGCATGGTACTGCCGTATTCTTCAGATGCAGGGAGGTTAATCATGATTCATAATACAAGTATGGAAGGAAACCAGCTCCAGGGCAGAGTGTGGCTAAATTGGGAAGCTTGTTAACAAGTACTCCAGTAAGAGATTTCCTTCCACAACGAAAAAAGGTTGAAGAGATCATGATTGTGGTTTTCCCCAGAAATCTTTCAAAGGCACTTACAGAAGAAAATCAAGAAATTAAACACAGCTGCTCAGAGAGTCCAGATAATGTATTTTAAAAGATTAAGAGCTGAAATTAATCTTCAGAAATAATCTTGTACATTATATAAGTTCCCAGAAGTCCTTTGTGGTTCACTGAATGGAAAGGAAATCAAACCCGATACTAAAGCTTTAAGCTTAAAGCTTTGTGCTGGAGTCCTCCTAGTCAGGCAAAACTTGTGGATGGAGGAACTGGTATGTAAAGAAAGTAGTGTGACATATCTGTATATGAAATAGCATCGTTTAGGCAGATGATATGAAAACCTTGCAGAGGGAGAAGCTGGTGATTTGTTTTGGATACTAATTTGAATTTCATCCAAACAGATTTGTTTAGAATATTCCTTAACTTTCAGCTCATGAAGTGCACCTGTAAAACACTAAAATCCAGCTACATGAGTAGCACGTGACCAGACAGAGTATGCTTTTAAAATTACAAATCCCCATTCTATGGGTGCCCTTTCTCAGGTAGCACTTAGATTTACATAGATCTAAAATTTAATGAAATTTTAATGAATGAAAATGGGGGTGCTGCCTGATGACCCACCAAGAAGACAAAGTAGCATAACAATCTGGGGCTTACTTTTCAACATGCAGAAGCAGTATTGAGAATGCTAACATAATTCATAGAATCATAAAATAGTTTGTGTTGGAAGGGACATTCAAAGGTCATCTAGTCCAAACCCCCCGCAATGAGCAGAGATATCTTCAACTACATCACGTTACCTAGAACCTCATCCATCCTGGCCTTGAATGTCTCCATCATCATCCTGGTAAAGGGACATGATTTAAAGAAGTGAGGGAAATTAAATGAAACAGGATGGGACAATGCTGAAGAAATTGGGAAAGTGAATAGTAAGATAGAGAGTAACGTTGTCACTGACTAAGATATTGGTGACCAAGTGCTTCTTACAATAGCAGGACTTTGAATGGATTGGGAAATTTGCCAGTGCTCACTTTTGCTCACAGTGAACCCTTTCCGAGGAAAGCTATTTTCGGCAGAAGGGCTGCTTTGACGTTGTTTGTTCTCTTTCCACGCAGTATTCCAAACAATCTGTGATGTGCAAATACATGTCATCGACATCAATGATCAGATTCCCATCTTTGAAAAATCAGATGTGAGTATTTTTAACACCATTCTTGAGGTCCCAATAACTTCTGACAAATGTTCGAGCATACGTTCAATGTCTATTGAATGTCAGTGGGAAACTAACCATTTACAGAATAAGTAACAGCAATCCACTAGTGAAAATACAGGCAAGGTGTTGCTGCAAAGCCTGCATATAAGTTCTATCTAGATAGTGAACAGTGGGACATGCTCATAGTTCTGAAATATAAGGTAGTTTGCTCAGTGGAAAACTGTGTGTACAGAAATGCTGTCTGCATTCATTGACCAGCTCTCTGTTGATGGTAACAGGAACTTAAACACATGCAGAGTAGCAGGCTGTTGACTTTCTCACCTCAAGGTCCAGGACCTGGTCTCAAGATGAGACTGGTGGATCAGAGCACATGTCAAACAGAGAAAATGGAGCCAGCCTCCCAATGTTGCAGTGACCTGCGGTGCATGGAGCAATTAAGTATTTAACAGTCAGTGGCTGTGGTGTTCACTGGGTGCAGAGGAGCTGTACTGTCCTTACTGCCATGAGAACTGCATGAATGTGTAATGGTTTCAACAGAGGAGGTTTGGGACTACTCTTTGCTCTTTACCCACTGACAGAGATCTCATCATCTTTGATAAATGTATGGCTAAAAAAGGGGATACCGCAATTTTACTGAGGCCCAGCTTGCAGCTCTGGGTTCCTTGGGCAGTGAGGTAGCTCACCAGTACTGCTGCAAGGCACTTCACTAATGCTTTCATACATCTCTCTGACCTGGTTACATCTCTGCTGTGAAGTGCACCCACCACTTCCCTCTCTCACACAGCTTCTCTGGGTCAAAATACATTCATGCTTGTGGGCCACAACCTTGGTGTAGCACTCAAGTTTTTATCTGCAGTTGGTGCTCAGTGTGTTGTGTTTCAATGGTCTCTCTTTCCTTAGTATCACAGTGTGACTGTTGCAGAAGATCTCCCAGTAGGAACAGTGATATTAGAAATTCAAGCTACCGATGGAGATGAGCCTGGCACAGGGAGTTCCCACATCATTTACCAGATGAAGGAAGGAGATCCAAAAAACACATTTGTCATAGAGACAGATTCTGAAACAAACCGAGGATTTGTCAGGATTGACAAGGTGAATAGATGGGTTTGTTCTTCTCCTTTATATGTATAAATACACACATAAGTACATAGCTGGCTCTGCTGCAGGCTCTTTCTCCAGCAGAACAGGCTCTGGCTGATGAAGTAGGTCTTTATGCACCATCAAGTCAAAAAATGGCATTATTTGATTTTGCAGCAGCATTTCTGGAAATGAGAAAGCCAGCTAAATGTTTCCATGGACTGTGGTTGTGGTGCTGGGTTTTCACAGGGCAGATCCTCCTCCCTGCTGGTGATCTGGGCTTTTGCAATGGGAGGTGCAAGTGAGACCAGCATGTCTCAATGTCAGGATGGAGAGGCAGTTTAATTAACTGTGACAAAGCCAAGGTCAGAGTGTGCTGCAGCGGGTGATATATCCTACATGTTGAAAGCTGGAGAACACTTTCTCTGCATCCATTAATTTCAATAGCGAAAGTGCTCTCCCTTTGAAATTAGCCTTCTCAAAGTCACTTGAATGATAAGTCCAGAAAGCCTATCACTCATTTTTCAAGAGGTGATGTGTTATTTGCATCCTGATGCCATCCAGGCCAAGGGCAGCATTTGGTGGACCATCTTCAGGCTCAACGTCAGTGCAATTTTTTCCTGAGGAGGCAGTTGTGAGAAACTCCACGATGTAACAGCCCTCACATGGCTTTTGTCACCCAGAGGTCACACAAGGCCTTCTCATACAGAGCTATAAATACTATTGCTGTAAACAGGATATAGTTATTAAGCTTAGTCAGGCAGGTGGCAACATTATTAGGAAAGGCAGTTGCTGAGGAGGCCTCTGAACGCACATATGGTTTCATTTAAATTGACTGTTCCCAGTGTCATTGTGCTTCTGACAGCTCACCCTTATTTCACCTGCATATGAGATGTAGTCTCCTCCTGGAGGAGAGGCAGACTTCGTGATTTGCTATGGGAGCTTCCCATGACAGTAGGGCTTAAAGCACCTTTTTCTTTCCTGATTTATCTAGGCTCTCGATTTTGAAACAGTTCCAGTGTACAACCTGGTGATCAATGCCACAAACCCCGAACCCCTGGTGTCAGGCGTGCAGTACAACTCAAGCTCCCTTGCCCTGTTTAAAGTATTTGTAACAGATGTGGATGAGCCACCCATTTTCCATGAGGCAATTTACAAAGAAGAAGTGTCTGAAGATGTTCCTGTCAATACCCTGCTCATGACTGTGGAAGCCTATGATCCTGAGGGGGGTACTGTACGGTAAAAATGTGACCATGGTTTCTTTATTGAATTTAGAATTTAGAAAATTGTTCTAAAAGAGGTACAAGGAAATCACACTCAGTATTTGGCAGCAGGAAAAGGCATTTACAAAAGTCTTATTTCCTAGTAGAAGGTGGAGGAGCGGCAAGGTGGTGGCCGATGACCTACTTGGAGCAGACTGTTAGGCAGTGCTTTTCTAATCAACTTCCTCTCTGTCCTGTGACAAGCACCAGCCAGTAAGACCCTCAAACCAGGAAACTAAAAAGGCCATACATATATGTCTCCAGGAAAAAGACAGAACTAGTCTGAGATTAACAGGATTTCCATATCCATAAGGACTTTAACGAATGAAGCACATACTGCATAACCCCAGAACCAGTAGGACAGTAGCTGCTTTTCATGTTCCACAGAAACTGCACAGGGCTTTTTCTCCACCAAAACACACAACCTGTAGTGAAGCTCAGATCTGTAATTGGCAATTAATTAATTTTTTTGCCCAGCTGCCAAATACAATATGCTTGCTTTCACTGTGGATGAAAAGTTCAGTGCAAAACAACTCCTATGCATGTGAGTGGGATGCAAAACCTCAAACTGGCCCATTCAGTGGCCCAATGCCATGTTGTATGATCAAGTCCCTTTGAGTCTCTGCTAGCTCATGGATGCACAGTGCTCTGTTGCATGGTGTAAATGTACCTTACACTGGGTAGGTCAGATAGATAGAAGAATTATTTGTGGCTCTTGCTTTACAATTCCCTTCAGGGATGCTGAGCAGATCAACCCAAAACAAACAATCCTTGAATTATAACTAAAATTCAGCAAAACACCAAGTAGTTAATGGACTTGCAGAATATGACTGTTAGGCCTCCTGTGGATTTTTATTCCCATAGGTTTCTCATCTGACTTTCTACTTTCCCTTAGCTTTTGGGAACTTAGCATGTTTGGCCTTTTGTCAAACTGGTTTGAAAGTGAGCCATACAGTCCAGAAGCTCTTGGGGATGATGACAGAGACAGATGACAGGAATTCATACATACATAAACCACATTTTTGCTAAGAAATAGGGTAAAGGGCATAAAATAAGAAGTATAAAAAATAAAAGATGTACAAGCATGTCAGCATGCTGTTTCTAATGCAAGGGGTACTGAAAGAACAAAAGCATTGAATGAGAAGGTCAGGTCACATCTACTCAAGCAAATGCCTGTGCTTTACTGGGTCATACGTTCATGGTTAAATTTGTACAAGTAAATATGCAGAGACCTTGGGGTTTTTTAAACAGTAATATAAAGGCAGCTATGTGGTAATGTTTAAAGCACTCTCTGTTCCAAGGCTGCCCTGATGGCAATTATGGGCTGCTCCAGACTGGCAGCAGATAACCACTGCAGTCCACCTTGGGGTCCAGGCCCCTTGCTGATCCAAAAAAGGGTGCCTGGCTCCACTGCTCCCTCTTTCCTCCAGGCTTTGGCTTGTGCCCCCGTCAATACCAGGATGTGGGCAATGTGACGGGGAAAGAGAGACAGGGGTTGGAACAGAGCACACTTGTGGACCAAAAGCTCAGAAGGCCCCAGAAACTGCAGTCAGGAGGAAGGCTGAGTTGCAGCGCACATGCTGGAGGAGCGGTGGCATTCCCATGGTTCTGCTCTCACTCTTACTCTCAGTAATTCTGGCCTCCCTTTCTCTGTATTTCCTCTCTGATTGTAGTATCAGGACTCTTCAAGAACCCTCTCTTCAAGTACAATTGTGATCAAGCCATTTGCGCAACACCGATAAAGAAGGATTTGCTTTGTCAGCAATCTTTTGATTTGGAATAATATATATGATTTTTTTTCCTATTTCTTTCCAAAGATACTCCTTAGAAGGTGATGTGAGGAAATGGCTGAGGATTGATTCAACCACTGGGCAGGTATACACTGCTTCCACTTTGGATCGAGAACAAGAAGCAACGTACACAGTTGATGTTGTTGTGTCAGAGCTAAGTAAGTGATGAAACAACTACATATGCACACAGAGGAATCCCCTGCTCTTCCTGCTTTATGAGGAATTATCATACATCCCATGACTAAACCCATGACATTACAGGAATATGTAACGTATCCTTAGATGTTCATATTTCTTAACAATTTACATTTCTTGAAAGAAGTCTTGAAATTGTAGATAATGAGGATTAAAAGATGTTTCATGAAGTTAGCTATCATATTTGTTTGAGTCACAGGGCATATAAAAAAGACTAGAATTACTTCAGTGTTTTCAGCATCAACATTTTCTGCCACTTTTTTTCCTCTATAGCTGTAAAGATGTTAGCCTTTCTTGTAGGAAATGATGATGTGACCACTTACTGGATATGATGGTCTATCTGCCTCTTTTCACTTGCTAAAGTTCTGTAGCTAGCATGAGCTGGGGGTAAGTTAGCCATACTTTTTAAAAAGTGGTAGCAGCTACCACAAGTCCCCCACGGTGTCCTGAGACCTTGTCTCTGCAAGACAGAATCCCACCTCCCACTGCCTGCCTGATGGTGTACCTAGAGAATAGCTGCAAATGCAGCAGCCCAGCCTGTGTCCAAGGTGTGCATGCAACTTTGCATTATCTAACTCTATCTAACTCTACAGATAACGCAGCTCAGAAATCCAAAGCAACCTTGATACTACAATTACTTGATGTGAATGACAACCCTCCTCAGTTAGCTATGGATTATACTCCTTTCTTCTGCCACCCAGTAAGTGGAGGAGAGAGAGCTCTGATTCGAGCTACTGATGCAGATCAACAGCATTATTACTCAGCATTTACTTTTTCTCTTGTGGATGATGTGAATACAAGAAATAGTTGGGAAATTTCAAAAGTCAATGGTAAGTTAATAAAGCTATTATTACAATGATATGGGACCCTTTAAGTACTCTGGGAAATATAAAGAAATATTGAATTCCTTTTCATTATTATTACTGTATATGCATTATTCCATGTAGAAAAAAAAAAAAAGGTTGTTGAGAAATTACATGCATTTTGACAAGTATTTATTTGAACACCCATGTAATTATTTTTTTCAAGACATTATGTCCAATATGTTGCAAGCTAAAATTTCACTAGTACTTCCAATAGAAGAAACATGTAAGAATAAAATGTGCTCTGTGATTAATGCACACAAACCACTTCTCCTATCAAAATAGAGCAGTTTTCTGACATTTCATGTGCAAAAGGAAGTTGTGCCTCTCCAAGCGGAGTTCTTTGAAAGGGAGTCAGTAAGCACATGGATAAATGCTTAGCCGATAGAGCCTGTCTGAATTCCTACGAGATATTTGATGAAATGTCCTACTACAGAAAGTTCGGTTGATGTGAAAGGAACAAGTTTTGAAAGGATAAATAATAAGTTAAAATTGAGGAGCTGGAGTAAATGGTCAGCTCTTGCAGTGAAGGGAGTTCATGTATGGTTTTCCAAAGTTTTTTGGGTGAATCATTCAAGTTGGTTGGGACTTCTATGATTATGGAGGGTTATTCTTGATTTAAATGTGATGCTTTCATTGTAGCACTGACCAAGATCAGATTTGGCCTGTTGTAGAAATCAGGATGTTAATTCTATGACTGTATGAAGCTGAAGGCCAGAATAGGTTTTTAGATGGTCCCTTTTGACTTAATGTCTGCAAACTGATCACAACTGGGATGGGGAAAACCAGGAACTACCAACATGTGCAAAGCAGCCTTAAAAAAGGAGCATTTGCAGCTGGTGTGAATTTTGAGCTACATTTCTTTCTTGTGCTGACATGAATGCTCCATTTCCCACTTACAGCTACTCATGCTTACCTCTCTCCGAAACATGCTAACTTTGAAGAGAAGGTGTATAATGTTCCAGTAATAATTAATGACAATGGAAAACCAGCTTTGGAGAGAAAAGTGAATCTTGAAGGTATACTATGCACAGAACTGTTCACTTCAAGACAAGTTACTTTTATGAATAACCAAACTGGTTAAGTTCTCATTAACCTCATGGCATTTCTTTTTGTAGTAAACATCTGCAAGTGTTCAAGTGAAAAGTCATGCTTTATCGAAGTAGAGCGTCAGCACTCCTGGCCAACTGCTGGCCAGGCAATCGGACTTCTTCTTGGGGTCCTGCTCATCATTGGTATGTCAATCTTCTTGCTTGATATGAAATCAGGTCTCTGAGATATGATGCTGCTGCTGCATTTCTGACACTCATTCGCTTGTTGGGTGAAGAGATGTCATGAATGTTGCAGAATGAGCAAAAGAGAGAGAGAATCTCATGATTATGTATCATGATTGCTGCAAACTTGCAAGGTTTTGGTCATTGGAATAGCTTTATTTGGCCTGTGCTTCTGGATCAATGTACAATGGCACAGCAAACAGCTATGACAGAAAAAACTGCCACACTTGTAGCATACTGACACTTCATTGCTATCTACTGCCTTTTCCCTGTCAGGAAAGGGAGCCCCTAGATTATACTGAAAATAGTGAAGCATCGAGGAAGGTCATGCTTACAGTGTCTGTACCTGTAGCTTACAACTATGATTTTATTCACCTATTTCAGCTTCGTAGCTTTCCATTTTTCATATGGATAATTGCTCTGAGTTGTGGCAATCTGCACAGTTTGCATGCCCAAAGTACAGTTACACAGTTAAGCGCTAGTGAACAGTATCATGTTCTCAAAAGCATGAGCTGCTGAAACTTTAACAAATAGCTTAAAATGTTTTCAAAACCAAGATAGAACCTTCTGGGAGGATAGGACAGGACAGGACAACACAAGATAGAATAGGATAGGATAGGATAGGATAGGATAGGATAGGATAGGATATTTCTGTTAGAAGGGACCTACAATGATCATCTAGTCCAACTCCCTGACCAATTCAAGGCTGTACAAAATTTGAAGCATGTTGTTATGGGCATTGTCCAAATGCCTCTTAAACACTGACATGCTTGAGGCATCAACGAGCTTTCTAGGAGGCATATTCCTGTGTTTGACCACCCTCTCGGTAAAGAAATACTTCCTAATGTCCAGTCCTAGTCCATTTATTCTTTAAAGGATAGGATAGGATATTTCTGTTAGAAGGGACCTACAATGATCATCTAGTCCAACTCCCTGACCAATTCAAGGCTGTACAAAATTTGAAGCATGTTGTTATGGGCATTGTCCAAATGCCTCTTAAACACTGACATGCTTGAGGCATCAACGAGCTTTCTAGGAGGCATATTCCTGTGTTTGACCACCCTCTCGGTAAAGAAATACTTCCTAATGTCCAGTCCTAGTCCATTTATTCTTTAAATGTCTTTCAGTAGTACCCAGTATGATCTTCTTTATTTTTCCAGGAACTGAGGTTAGACTAACAAGCCTGCAGTTCCCTCAGTCTCTCCTCATGCCCTTTTTGCAGATTCGAGTAACATTGGCTAGCTTCCAGTCATCAGGGACCTCCCCAGATTCTCAAGACCTTTGGTAGATGATGGAGAGTGGTCCTGCCATAATATCCTCTAGCTCCTTTAGTATTCTCTCTATCAGTGTAAGTGCAAAAGTACTGAGGATGACTTGCAAAGGCCAGTGAGGATGGGATCCAGTCTCCAGTGAAGAGCAAAAAGATTTCAGTGCTCAGTCCTGTGTGATTTTTGAATGTGATGGTCACAAGAACCAGGCTGGGAAACTGTGACTCAGCTGTAGAGAGGGAAGGGAGTGTGAAAGAACCATGGAGAAAATAAAAGAAAAGGAATTAAATATGTTACAGACCTCATATTCAAAAGTGTCTGATTAAATTAGAGGATAAAAGAGAAAAAACCCCAAGACTTACATAAGTTAACATTAGCTCAATTCTAAAAGAAGAATAAGCCCCCAAAACAAGTTCAGTACCTAAAATGACAAAACCAAAACTCTGTGTTGATTTTCTTTGATAGTGCACAAACCCCTAAAGCAAGAGAAAGTGCCAAAATGTATGTGATGCATATATGTGTGTGTCTTCTGAAGATAAAAAGAGAAAAAAAATCCAATGAACTTAAAATGGAAGAAGCCATACTCAGGCCATGTGATTGACAGAAAACCCCCTCAAACTGCATCTTCATCATCTCTGTTCAAGCTTCTCACATCATCTATTTCTGCACAATGCCTTAGTCTGGTCCCTCACTTAATTTAGTGTCACATTTAAGTGCAAATTATGTTGGATAACTGATTGAAGATGTTTTCATTACAAGAGAGCTGCTCAGCTTCAGAGAGCACAGCAAAAATTGTTACCGCTTTATGACTTTTAAAAACCACAGTGTATATAGCTCTTAAATGAATTTAAAAATGAGCTCCTGAAATTAATATCCAGGCTTTTTTCAATAGCAAGTTATTTTCACTGTAAATGCGAAATCAGATGATTGCCTCTCAGGTGGATTTAACAGAAGTCAGAAATGGGCAAGTAAAAGATGAGAAGTACCTAAAGATTTTATGAAACCTGAGGAGATTACAAACATTGAGTTTGGCCTTGAAGCTCGGAAGATATAACAGTAAAACCAGCCGTCTCCTGGGTGCCTCTCTGATGCCAGAATGAATTCCTGCGTGAGCTAAGGACTCTCCCAGACCTCAGCACTTTTTGTTCCCAAAGCAAGGATCCTTTGAAGTCTTCATTTCTGTAAAAGAGACACAGACCAGAGACACTGGAAAACAAATATAAGACAACAAAAAAATACACCCCAAACCAACAACCAATCTTTTCTGATGGGAGAAACTCTTTCATTAAGACAAATTTTCTTTCTCCTGGAAGGTATTTCTCCCACTGAGAAGAGGGTGGAAGAACAAATATCACATGGCAGATACTAGGCATGTTCCTTGATTAACTACTCAGATACCAGAAATATAAACGTAAAATATGAACCACTACAGAACAGATATCCAGAGCAATGAATGGGACAAGGGGAGTAGCTGAGCATTCCTATATACTTTAGTAAAGGAGCAGAGATGTTGAAAGTGATAGATAATCTAACACTAATAGAGACGAATTAAGTTTACATACAATGTAGCAAGTTTATCATGATTTTAAAAGATCAAAGAGAAATATATACATTAAATATGCATATTTGATGTGTGTGTATATATATATATATATATGCATTTGCAGACACCTAAACACCTTAGACTGGATATGACAAGTGATGATAAAGGGTAAAAATACTTCTATTCCAGGCCAGAAGAAAACCTCAATCATTCTTGGCCATAGGTGCACAAATCTCTGGGGTCCATCAGCTATTCCTAACAGATACCAAGGACTTCCCAAAGAACAATTTGCTGTCAGTTGTCTCAGCTTTGCTGTGACAGAAGTGATATTCCAGTGGGGAAAAAACCCAGCGACTTCAATTCAAGACAAACATGACAAATCACTGCTCAAGGGGAGGGGGGCTAAAAAAGACACTTTGCCATCTGTTCAGATCCTAGAGGAGAAGTTCTCCTTTGGGGGATGTCTCCTGAGACCTGAGGTATCTGATCCTGCCCAAGCTGTGCCTCGGGTCACTGTTGGTCCAGCACGGCATGACCATTCCCCAGAGCTGTTTGCTTCTGTTCAAGAGGTAAAGCAGTTTGGATATCACAGTGTGGGTGTCAGACCCTTTCCTGAAATACCTTTTCTCTTCCCTTTAGTGACGAGTGCTTTCTGTTTTTCAGGTTGTATTACAGGGGGTGTGTTTCTTCACATGAAATACAAACAAAAGAATGAAGAGAAGAGCCATCAGAGAGATGTAAGGGATAAGTCTGAACTTGATAGGCTGGCTTAATGACTGTTCCATCAAGAGGCAAAAATGCCCTTTGGGTTGGGAAGGAGTGAGCTTTGAAGCTCGTAAAGCCCAGAAGTATGCAATCACAAACTGAGGATACAAACATGCAAAAGCAGGCTCCCAGGGCTTCGACCTCACTTTTGTAGGTAATACTATTCTGTCATGAAACAAAAAATGTACATACACTTCAGCAGCAGCCATTAGTACAAATATCAGCTTTGAAGTGCTAGCTCATGACAACGTCAAACGCTGAGCTCCTGCAAGGATCAATACATGGCACCAGCTGTGTTTGTTCAGCAAGCTGAAGTATATGCGGACTTTCCAGAGGACTATGTTTTATATAACTGCACATCTTTGGCTCTTTCCATCTCAGTGAGTTACTGAATAGCAGAATGGGTAATAAGGTCCTGTGCTACATTTGAAGATGTCCCATGAAGCTTCAGGAATCTCTATGACTCTCAGCAAAGGAGCTCCCAAACTTATTGCAATCTGTGATCCTCCCTGGGTCATGCCTGCTTATGTTATGCTAGTAATTTGTACTAGCAATATTCACTAGCAATGTGATATTTCTGTTTTTCAGTTTTGAAATCCACAGAGTATAACCAGTTTGTGAAGCACAAACTTTCTTACAGTTCCTAAGTTAAAAAATGCAGTCTGAGTCATGTAGAATTGAGTAATGTGCTGTTTTATCATACCAGTGCAAATATTGTTCTTGCTTCCTACACATTAGATAAGAATAAAAATGTTCTTTAAAGTTTTTAATGCCTGCTTATTTTATAAAAATTAAAAAAAGAAAAAACAGTGCATGAGAGCAAACCACTGATGCTTGGTTATCTATTGAATTTAACCCTCACTTTCACATAATACAGATTGAAAATGGCTCTTAGGGCAGAGTGATACATGTCCAGCTGATTCAAGGTGCAATGACTGCTGGAGGCACTTTCAGTAAAACGTACTTGAGCCCAGGATGACACTCAGAGAAGGAAAGCCTTTCTCCTGACAGCATGCCTATAGAAGGGCATTTCTGGTGACAGTTTGAGGGAGGCTTTTCTTTTAAGCTATAAATAAAAGCTGACAAATATTGTGTTAAGCTGAAGACAATATACTTCTGCAAACACTGAAGAAAAGGTCATATGGAAAAGAGTATGTTTGTTTACGCAGGATTTTTTTAATAGCTTTTGCATGCAACACAGAACTAGAAAGAAAAGGGCACTTTTTTGGTAGCACTGCATTATAATAGGTTTTCCTAGAGTGCTGCCAGAAAAAAATTTGCTTTTGGGCTTCACCGACACAACCCAATTGTTGTACCTCTTACCCCAGCTTCCCTAGCTGCTGGAGCTCTGTTATTTGCTGTGGGGCTCTCTGCTGGAATGTATTTATTTGGTGATGGGAATGCAGTCCATTATATTTGGAAAGTATGACATTCAGTTACGTCAGTCTGTCCAGGCATTGGGATTAGTATATTGTTTTATAAATAAAGGAGCCAAAGTTCAAGAGTTGTACTCAGATATACCAATATATCTGAAGACAGGGAAAAGGTGCAGAAGTTTCACTTTGCTTTATCTCCCTGACCTTTCTGTTGTTATTTTTCTCAAAAGCATCTCCTATTTTTATCAATTTCTTTTCTGGAGAAGGGCAAAAAAACCCAACTGTCTTATTTACCTATACTCATGGCTGTTCAAGAGCTAGATTTATCTCTTCCCTTAGCCTAGAGAGGCATTGCCATAATTTCTTGCATCTCACGGGGTAATGCACTGCATTGTCTGCCTAGCTGCCCTTAGACCAGTGGATAGCAGGGCTTCTAGGACAAATAAAAGTCTTCGCACCTCAATGTCTTGACCACATCTTCAATCCTTAAGACTTCCAATCTCAGTGTATCAGGGGTTAACCTGAGATATTACTGCAGGTATTATATTACTGCAGGTAATCCTGCAAGTATTACTCTACTAAATGTGGCTCACGTACGGTAGGAGAGGTCCGAATGGAGCCGCCTTGGGCTGCTCCCTCTCCAGCAGCTGCACTGGGCGAGCATCTCTAGGGGCTGAGCACATTCCCCCTTGCTGCTGCAATGACATCCGGACAGCCCAGGCCCCTGCCCGCAGCAGAGCATAGCCAGGACCTGCAGCACCCTGAGGACCCCACTCCATGTGCACCTCCTTCCCCACACCGCTTGGCCAAAGTTCCCTGCACTCAAGGGGCATGTCATGTTCATGCTCAGATGGGCATTACCGAAGCAATGCAGCTGTTAGCTAGCCTGCAGCTGGGGCATGGTGGGCTGCTTAGTGATTCTTGTACTGTGCAATAGCCCTACTTGCAAAAAAAAACCCCAAAACCTCCAAACAAACAACCAAAAGAAAAAAAAAGGAAAAAAAGAAAAAAACCCACTTCCAAACCTGCCACAAACATTCTCGTTTTCTTCGCTCTCCTCCTCACTGCTTGCTGGCCAGGACTTCATCCATAGCCCTCCGGGGCTTTATTTAACCCAGTCCTGCTCTGGCTCCTCCATCGGTTCAGTCTCTTTTGGGAGCCAGACAAAAGCTCTCACCCAGCCTTAACCCTCCCCCTGCAGCAGACTGCTGTCCCCAGCCTCCTTTCCAGAGGACAAATTCAGTTTCATTTGGGTCTCTGGAGAGGAAGAGAAGTCATATTATTATTGTTCCTTCCCACCATGCTTCCCAGCAGCCCCAGCTGGTTTGCGGGTCCCTGCAGAATCAGCAAATACACTAGAACGTTTTGCCTTTGTACATTACATTTTGCTCTGAATTCAAGTTTTAAAGGATGAGCACTGCTTTTTCAGCTCCTCCAATTCCTGTCAATGTCTGTTAGTCACTGCATCCTCCAAAACAATTTCACTGACACTTCCTGGTAATAAATAAGAGCATATGAACTGCACTTTTACACATAAAAGTGTAAAGATATAGACAGCACTGAAAGCAGAATTTGGTACAAACTTCCAAAAAATAGTTCTCTGAAGTTGGCCACAATATCTTTATTAAACAGCTTCGGACAACCGCTTATATTCAGTTTGCATGCTTGAATAATAGATATGGCATACCAGCATGATTTGCACGCATACGTGATTCACTACAAACAAACTAGTAAGGTCTGCAAGCATTAAAAGTGAATTAGTGCTTTGAATGCAGGATACATAAAATCATAGAGACGATAAAGCTTTCCTGCTTTATATCCACAGATTATCAGAACAACTTTATACACTGGTAGCAGAAGGACAAATTTCGAAAACAGTGTTGATGGCTTTGGACTCCAGTTACAACCTTTCTGCCAAGAACAATATCACACAGAAAGTCCAGTGATGAAATCTGCTGAGAATATGTCCTCTGGCACTGTTCCTTTCTATGGCTCCTCCTCCAAGTATGCAACATCTCATTACAAGGTTCACAGATAGCAAAAGATGTTTCAGTGCTTTCTCATTCTTTTTTACAAGATTAGAGACTTATCAGGGGTTTGATTATCGCCAGGATTAATGGCGTACATTAATTAAACTGTCATTATGCCTATTTTTCAACCCTTTTGTAAATATAAACTTGAAAAGTACGAACAAGATTTTTATCTGGGTTTATAGAACAAACGCCACAGAACAGCAGCTGTTGGAGGCAGGAGAAAAGAAGTGTCCTTAATCCATGTTTTGAAGTATAGTTCATCAGCTCTGCTCACACGATCAAACGCACAAGGCTGCATCCACCACACAGAGCTACTGCTGTGCCTATTAATAGGGATGAAGATAAGGCAGCCAGCAGTGGCATGGTGATGGGTGGGGAGGGCTGTGGGCCAGCTGCGCAGATGGGGCTGCGCTGCCAACCAGGCTGGCTGGAGCCACTGATAATCGTGGAGGGACAGACCCCTAGACCTGGGGAACGCAGAGACACATGTGTCTTCACAGCCGCAAAATGGCTTTGTAGTGAGCTGTGCTCTTGTGGTAGGCAAGCACCCACCATAGCTGGGAAGTTAACTGGTAAAGGAGAACTGGTTCAGGCTGAAAAAGGATGGATGCTCTCCTAGTCCCTCTGTGTAGCAGCTAATCCTAGATGCACCTCACTAGGAGTTTGAGAAGGCTTTACTTTTAAAAACAAAACAATGACAAGAACAACAACAACAAAGAAAAACCAAAACAAACACACACATTTATTCCTGGTGTTATTTCTTGCAGATTTGCCAGAACGGGGTGCTAAAATTAGCTAATTGCTTGTGCAAACTAGAGCAAAGAACCACACAATCCATAGTTACCACTCTTTCTAGACCAGAGTTCTCATGTCCAGTCTCTAAATGTCATTCTGATAGCATTCACCCCCTCAGGGACATTCCTTCCCTATGGGCTGACTTTGGGCCTTGAACAGAAGACCCAGAAATCTGCATCTTAAATTACAAGACAAAGTCCTAGAGCTATAGAGACAGGATGTTCCCCTGTGTTCTGTGGATAGAGCTCAGAAACGGGAGGCACCACAGCCTGTGACCAAAGGGTTACAATTATGCACACGCACACCCAGTAGTGCAGTAAAATACCATGGAAAAGTTCAGAAAGATGGACAACATCATCATCATGTCAAGGATCCTAAGCCAGGAAAAACACTTGTAGTTTCTTAATTGTGTGTTCCAAAAGCAAACCAGAAGATTAAAGGCAAACCAGCAGCAAATCTTTGAACTTGTTGCTGAACAACATGTTCCTCCACTGACAGTGAAAGACTGTACAGTGTAGGGATAGGAACTACTCGAGCCTGTTCTGTTTACAGCTTGGGGGCTAGAGATAGGCGACAAGTGAGGTTGCAAAGGGATATTGCCACAGATGAGCTCAAGCGGAAGAAGCATCATGCATTTGCAGCTGAGAAGATGACAACTATTATTGCCATGAGCCCAATGCATTACTTACATCCAGTTCATCTGGTTATGATACCAGTATCATAAGTAGACTCCTCTTGCCATTCCTAAACCATTCTGTAAGATGCATGTTAATGCTGAATATGGTCAAGAAATGTTTTTCACAA